TCCTCTCGGTGGTGTGTCATTCTTTCTGAATTTGTCTCTAATAAGATTTTGGTCTTTGACATCTTGTGCAAAGTTCCTTGTCCAGCAGGATTTCTTCCCAATTCTGACTGTGTCTTATTATTTAGTCATTAATGTTAAAAGGGGGAGAGTTCTTTTCCCTCAAAGCTTCAAAAATAAAGCACTCAGAGATTTGTTATCTATTAAGATTCACATATCCCACAAAGTCATAATATTTTTGCTAACTTAAATGGCAGTTTATTTTGGGGGAGAGAAAAATCTTTCTGTTCTGAGTAATCTGATATTAAATGAGCCTTATTAGAATGTTTGTCCTACGTGCTACAGATAAATTTCAATATTATTTGCAATCTGCAGTGATTAATTGAATACCGTTCGTACTCTTCCAGTCTTATAAGTCTTATTAATAAATATACTTGCAAGGTGGATACTCTATTCAGTTTGAAAAAAGGAAGTGCAGTTTCTTGAAAGAGATAGAAACGTTGAAATATTTTAAAGAAAACGCTTAAGTCTCCTCTTAAATGAGGCATGATTCTGCATAATAAATATTGGTTCATTCTCTGTTTTAGCAAAAATGGTTCGATGCCCATAGCGGTGCAACAAAATCAAAGCTTTCCATAATTTTGATCAGACTCCAGCATCAGGAAATTTGTCAAGTAAACATATATATATATTGAAAAATTCCTCTATAAATCAAATTTTCTATACAATACAGAATTAATCCACTTTTTGGTATCCTTATGTAAAATCTGCTTACCCATGCCTTTTAGAACTTTGATTTATTCCATTAATCCAGTTTTCTGGATTCACACCATATCTTAAACTCAGTGGTGGGATTCAAATATTTGAACAACCAGTTCTCTGTGTGGATGCTGCTTCTGGAAGTCCATTCTAGGCCTGGGCAACAAAAAAAAATTAGCTACCAGTTCTGCCAAAATGGTGTGAACTGACTGAATCCCACCACTGCTTAAACTATTAACTGAACTCTTGGGCTGGTTTCATGCAACTTACTAAACTAAGCTGTGAGCAGCTACTTTGCTTCTGTTTGTCATTAATGTATAGCAGGGGGTCTTCAAACTTGGTCCTTTTATGACTTGTGGACTTGAACTCCCAGAATTCCTCAGCCAGTGTGGCTGGCTGAGGAATTCTGGGACTTGAACTCCATAAGTCATAAAAGGGCCAAGTTTGAAGACCCCTGATGTATAGGTTAGACCTTCTCTCCTGATTGTGACATACCTTTCCCCCCTTGCAATGCTTTGAAAATCCAACTGTCAGACATGAAAGACCAGGTCGACTTGTGAAAGTTCAGTTAAATTGCTTTATTGCTAAAAGCTTATGCGTAGGAATCTTCTCATCTAAATCATTTTGTAATTCTGTTGCATGGCCTCCAACCATCTGATTGCTATAATGCATTTACTTCTCAAATTGCACATACTTAAAATTCTACCAAAATCATACTCACATAAAGTTAGGTAAGGGTCAATGCTACTTTGTATTAATATGGTTAGTGTTGAGGAATCCTGAGAAAGAGGTTGAACAATACCCAGTAGGCCGTGGCCCAAAATAGAGGCACTGTTTTCTGGCTCCAGAATTGTGTGTATAAATGAACAATCTGGAGATAGAACATTGTGCTGTTCTGCAGGACATGCCCATCCCAAACCACAAATATTGTGAAACTGGACCTCTCTAGACCATGCCTAAATTATCATGAACCAGTTCTGCTCTGAATGAATTACGTCTTGTAAACTGTAGACCAGTTTAGTGTGTGGTCCAACTTAATCAAATCAAGCATGGTAGTGATCCTTGGAATCTTCCATTCCAAAGCAGGATGCTTTGCGTATCCATAGTCAAGATTCCCTGAGTGAGTAGGACTGAGTAGCTGGCATAGTTTGGGATTAATGAATTAAGAATCTAAGAGTGTGTCTTTAGCTTTGCAAAGATGTAGTGTACTATTTATTACTTTAATAACTTCAGTCATCCCCTCCAGACTGAAAGCCTGGCTTTACCAACTTTCAGACGCTGGCATGTCATGCAAAGCAAAGCGGAGCTATAGCCTAATGGAAATTATACATCCATGTACTAAACTAATATTCCCAATATACTGCATTTAAAGCATTCTGGAAGAAAAGCAAATGAAAGAAAAGCAACCGGCCACTCTGTCTTTAATCTTGATTATTTTCCCTGGCACCACTGGAGGAAGAAATAATGTTAATTCAGGGCTTCTCATCTATATCTTACAAAGAGGTGACAATTTCATATAATGAGCTATAATGGTGACAAAATACCTTCTCTAGTCTTATGGGCAAACACTGTGTCATTTTTCCTTAATTATGTGCCGTTTTATTGAGTAGAACAAGCGATTTAGAGTTAACAAAATATACAAGCAAACAAAGAAATGAACATAAAGACTCAGATTTTTTTCCAAAGGTTCATTTACTATGTTTCTGTAATTCCACTGATACCTAAACTCAGCCTAGTGCTTGACTACATTAAATATATATATATATATATAATGGTAATAGGAAAGGTAATAGGAAAGATGAGAAGGATAATAGTAATGTAGCCCTACTGCATGGGTAAATATCCTTAGACAAAATAACCTCATTATTTTGTCCTGCAATGCCCTATAGCAGTGGTGGTGAACCTATGGCACGGGTGCCAGAGGCAGCACTCAGAGCCCTCTCTGTGGGCACGCGCGCCGTCACCCCAGTCCTAGGCCTTCAGCTGGGTATTATTAAACCTTTTTGCTTTAGGCCTCCGCCTCCATGTACAAAAAAAAAAAAAAAAAGAGGTTCAATCAATCAGTCAATTTCAACGTCTCGCAGGAAAAAAAAGATCTTGCAAAGTTGGAATTGATTGATTGAACTTTTTAGTCCCACCCAGTCTGCCATTAACACTACAGCCACACCTACCCAGCACCCGACAATGCATAAGTGGGTTTTGGGTTGCAGTTTGGGCACTCGGTCTCTAAAAGGTTCGCCATCACTGCCCTATAGTGGCGTCCTGAGGGGAGGAGTTGAAACAGTTTTGGTCCTGGAGATGAGGGGGTCTGTAGATGTTTTCTCAGCCCTCTTTCTGACCCTTGCAGTATATAGATCTTCAATGGAAGGTAGGCTGGAGTGGAAATGATCTAAAATAACTCTGGTAATAAAGAAAGTCTTCACTCGTTGTTGAGTCCACCGATCAGGAATAATGATTATTGGAAGGAGACAAGGGATGAGAAGCAACCATTCGCAGTATTTGTGATCTGAGCCAGCAGAGCCTTGAGTTAGTACAACAGCAAGATCCCTTGTTAAAGCTGTCTTGGGAGCACCCTGATTTTAGGAAGTTAAGTGGGGTGATACAAGCCAGGAGAAAGAAATGTTAAAATGTCAAATCTGTGCTTTGAAGATGACAATACATAGGGAAGATGGATGAAATAGTTTAATTTTAACATGAACTGACCTAATTTCTATTTTCTGAACTAATATGTAGTGCAGAGCACAATTATTCTATCCCTCTTCTTTTGGCACTTCTCCAAATTCTATGATGTAGTCCTCAACTTAAAATTCCATATGTAGACATTTTACAAAAAAAAAAAAAAACATAAATGTTGAGACAGAACGACATCCAAAGATACATCGCAGTTATGAATCTGGCTTACCATTTATTAATTGGCTGGTTCTTATTTCTGCTAAGGCAGTGTTTCTCAACCTTGACAATTTTAAGGCATGTGGACTTCAACTCCCAGAATTCCACAGCCAGCATTGCTGGCTGTGGAATTCTGGGAGTTGAAGTCCACATGCCTTAAAATTGTCAAGGTTGAGAAACACTGTGCTAAGGGAATGGGTCTCTTCCCCTTCTGAACAGAATCCAGAATTTAAAAGTTTTCTTTTTTAACATGTAATTAAGATGTCAACCCAGAATTCTCACTTAAGGCACTAATGACCAAGCTCACAATTATCCTACTTTGGACATATTAGCTCTCTGGAGAAGGTTGTGAAAGGTACTTAGAAGAAAGAAAAGAGGATGACCAGCAACATGGAATGGAACAACTGGCCATTAAATTCAATTTAATTTGTAAATTATTTTATTTTTTATCATTCACATTTCATTTTGTCCCTCCTTCTGCATCCTTTCTTTAATGATTGTATTCCACTATTTCTTCATATATTAGTGTAACTCCTGTCTCGCAGCAAGTTGTCCTATGGCACGTTGGCCATGGAGACTTGTCCAGCGATGGGTTGGCCATGATGAGTTGACCATAGTGAGTTAGCTTAGACACCCAGAGCAAAGTGGATGGATTCAATTACAGTGGTGATGAAGGCATTGTTGGAAGAGCCGAAAGACCAGGTTAGGGAGAGTTCATCATGGCGTAAATCTGTTGTGGTTGCCAAGAGTCAGTTACAACTTGATAGCACCTAATGAGTCAAAATCAATACGAAGGCTGAAAAATGCCCAACTATGATACTAGTGCTCTTGAAATAGGAATTTGACATCAAGGTCTAGCACCCCATTTAATAGAATGAGCAAAGAGGTCTCCAAATATCTGACTCCCTAAAGTGGAATTCATCTTACCAAGTTGCTGTAATTACATTACTCTATCCAGTGGGAATGTTCCTTCAAAATAAGTAAGCCTTTGAGTCTGATTTAAAACAGAGCTGGCAATAAACAGATTCACAGGCAATTTTAGCAGTGTTGAGTGGAGAAGTCTCTCACCCTCACCCCCCAATACACAGCACACACACACACACACACACACACACACATACACAAAAGAAGTAATGTGCAAACTCATTGTGATTTTTGATAATTGCCTTATCCTATTATGATCTCCCTAAAGGTCTTCTTGTAATCGTTCTTCTCTCTTTACAAATAATGAGGAACACCTGCAGTTTTAAAAATACTTGTCACTGAAGTGGTTAACCCCATTGGGAGTGTCCTGTTTTAGAAGCTTACTCATTTCTTTTCTAACAAGCTTCTTTGTCTTTCTTCCTGGTGATCTGTGTGTCTCTCTCTCACGCACACATACACATTCTCAATGCCCATTTTTGGCTCCTGGATACAAGCGGATGATGGGATCAAAGAGGAACTCCCAAATTATTAGTTAAGCAGGACCTCCATCTTCCTGGAAAATGCCCAGAGTGGTCTTTTTGCTTCATAACAACCCATAAGGTAGATCTCTGGCTGACAGTGATTTCCCAAATGAAGGCTCACAAGTTAAGTGGTAAGTGCATTTGCCATGGATATTTACAAATCCTTATATCTTTTAAAAAAGCAAAGCGATAAGGCATATGTATATTTGCAAATGCACAATTAATACTCAGAGGAAGATATTATCTTGCTCAGTAGTCTAAGAGGCATATCACAATTTCTTATGTTGGCTTGTTGTCTCTTAAGATGATTCGTGCAAGTATCAGTCAATAACATCAGAACTGGCTTACAGTGACCAAGAACGGGACAGATTGCTCTATTTTTTTTTTTTAAGTTTATCATGTAGCTTAAATTCTTAATGCCTCAATTTATTGCTTAAATGCATACTCACATGGATATATATAACCACCGGCCAAGCATCCCTCAACTGACTCGACGCTGCTCTCCCAAATATTTTATTTGATATTAAAGATCTGTCTGCTTTGAGGCTGTCCCTTGACAGTTAGGACTTCTTTGTTTCCTTTCCTTTTTTAAATTACTATTTGCCTGGTTTCCAGTGTAGAATGTGTTTGGTTAGAGGAGGGACTGCATATGAGCTGACACAGAGTGCATTCATTCCTTTCAGGAGAATACCTAGAAGCAAAGGGCTTGCCTATGAAGTACGATTTTTCAAAGTTCTGCAGTTCTCCATTTATCTTGAACCCTCTTCAGCCTCGCTGAATAATGCAGCATCTTTTGCCTGATTTGGAACTTAGGCAGGGATGCGTTTGATAGCTCCGGAGTGGCCTTATGCAAGTTATCCAGGAAGCTTTTAGCCACTAGAATACATTATCAAGGGATGGGATGATTCCCGACTTATTTGGCAATGTCTCAGAAGATTCTGGACCGCTATTTGTTTGTTATATTTCTGCGTTAAAGGTGGAATTGGACTAAAAAGTTCCTTCCTGCTAACCCTCAGCGGAGAAATTTGGTCTTCTGTCAAAGAAGCGGTGCTCAGGAAATGGTCTTAGTGGTTGAAAATTCAGTTATATTATTTTTAACTCAACCAGCCGCTAAAATAAGGCAGGGATTGCAGGCTGTTGAAATATATATTTTGGTCAGCTCTTTAGATTTCATTACAAGAGATGGCCTATGGAGCTTGCCTTTCTCTAAGGAGGTCAACCACTGTAAATTTGGGCTAGGCTTAGCGTTGTGCTCAGCAACTTTTTCTTTTGGGGGGTTGGATTTAGCTCCAGCTAATTCTCTGTAATGAAGCCCCATGTAGGCAAACAAAAAAAGTATTTCCGATTGTTGAAGGTGACAGGGATGTACTGATCTGGATTAATTTGAAGTGAAGAGATGGTCACAGCTCCTGACTTTGAAATGCTTATATCCTCGCCCTGCCAATATTCAGTGTCTGAACTCTATAATTCTCTTATCACGAGGAGCATAATCCAAGAGACTTAATTACCTTGCCAACAGGAAAAGGTAGGAAGGAAGCCCTACAGGGTGAATAAGGAGAAACCTATCTTTTCAATACTGCAGGGTTGAAATCCTGAATTCATTTTTTCAGGCTTTTGCAAGCCTCTTTATAACATTTTATCTCACCGAAGTAAATCGGTGCTTCCTTTTGTTTGGTATATACAGGTAGACCTCAGCTGTGCCCCAATTTCTATTGTTCAGCCAGACATTGGTTAAGTTAATTTTGCCCCATTTTGCGACCTTTCTTGTGTTTAAGTGAATCACTGCGTTTGTTAAGTTAGCAACACGGTTGCTAAGCGAATCTGGCTACCCCATTGACTTTGCTTGTTAGAAGGTCTCAAAAGGGTATCGTGTGACACCCCTCCTCCCCCAGAACACTGCAACTGTCGTAAATAGCAGCCAGTCACAAAAGTGGCTGAAATTGGACCAGGTGACTCTGTGGATACTGCAATAGTTATAAATGAGAAAAATGGACATAGGTCGCTTTTTTCAGTCCCGTTGTAACTTCGAAGATCCCTAAACAAACTGTTGTGAGTTGAGGACCACCTCTATAAAAGGACAGTAGAAAGAAAATTATGCTTTCTAAACTGATCAGGCAATTACTTTGCATCCTTTTGGGAAGTTGCAATGAACAAGGGAAATTAAATCCAATAAACACTAATAAACGTGGACAGTGTAGGTCCAGCAAATTTGATGTTCGGTCTGTCTGTCTGTCTGTCTGTCTGTCTGTCTGTCTGTCTGTCTGTCTCTCTCTCTCTCTCTCTCTCTCTCTCTCTCTCTCTCTCTTTGTGTGTGTGTATGTGTGTGTTTGTGTGTGTGCCCATGTGTGTGTTCATGAGATCATGAGTGAGTATGATGTTTGGTAGAATTGTAAGTGTATGCAATTTGAGAAGTAAAATGCATTGTAGCAGATGGTTGGAGACCATGCAACAGCATTACAAAATGATTTAGATGGACTTAAAGTATGATAGCAGTGAAAGACAAAATGGCATCTCTTGGAACCTAATCTGCAGGTATTGTGAGGCATTTACAGTAATAAAGACAATCTATGATTTTTCTGTGTCGTATTATAACACATCATCTTACATTCTGCCTCCTACTCATTCCTGCATTATTCATGCTCTGGCACAGAAAGACAGTCTTTTCAATTCATTGTTTTTTAAAAAAATAAAATAAAATCATTTTAATTTGTTTCAGGTTATAATTGCATACTGGAACATGCCCCATGTTCCTGGCTGCAATTAAACAGTTTTCTTTGAGGTATTATAAAATCTTTTTTTTTTTTAAAGAAATGATTTATTTACATTTCATTGTTCTCATCCTCCAAAAAGCTCTATCTGTTGTGAGTGATGAGGGAAGCCTGGAAGATACCTCAAAACCTTTTATTTATGGAGGTCCTTCATAACAGCATTTTTAAAGTCCCTATTCTTAAGAAAAAGATTTCCATAAGAATCCTCATTAATTCTGTTGCCTCCGATATAAGGACTTAAAAAAAAAATCTATCCCTTTTGTATATGTATTTAGATACATAATGGTTGTTTCTTACTTATTGTTAATTCCATTTGCTCTTTATTGTCAGAAATCATAAAAACTAGTAGATTTCACTAAGTAATCCCATACATGCTATGGCAGAATCCATTTGGTCTGCTTTTTAAATCTTTTCCTGTTGCGTGTTTTTAAAATACCTTATTTATTTTTTGAGTGTATGGCACTTTAATATCATAATTATGGAATTGTTATTTTGGGATTTTCAAAATCATAGAAAAGTAGTCTGGAATAATAAGCTTTCTTTTGGAATAAACACAATGTTTGCTGATTGAAATATCACAGTATTTCTGACTTGGGCAATGAATAACATCAGTATATCCTCTATAAATCATACTATCCTATATAAAATTTTCTGAACAAAAGATGTAAATTAAGCAGATCTTCAGTGTAGTCAAAGTTGATGACAATGCATAATAATATGGCCTGAAGGAAAGTGTATTTTCCCTTTTATTTAATATTTAATATTGTAATTTCAGTAGATATTCAAAGCCATGGCATTTAAAACTGAGTCTCTTGCAATATATTTGTCAACTGTAATAGATTCTGATTATCCACATTTCCCCTACTTTAAAATGGACAACTTTTCAGGAACCGAATATACTTTCACAGGTAATCTTTGACTTACAACGGTAATGGATCCTAGAATTTCCATCCTAAGTCATGATGATTGTAAGTCAAGGCACCAACATGACTAGGATTCCATTTTATTACTTTTTTGTGATGGTCTTTAAGCAAATCCATATATTTCTATGGGTGTTGTTTTCCAGAAACGAGCCGGAAGGGCTGAAAAAGCAACTAAACATGATAAATTGTAGTCATGTGACTAAGGAACACTACAAGGGGCTGTAAAAGTGAGCTGGTTGCCAAGCCTCCAGAATGTGGTCATGTGGTCACCTGGCATTTTTGAGGTGTGGGCATTACAGGAAGTCAGTCTACCAACCAAAGATTGACTTGTAGCAGAATTAGGCTATTTCTGACCCGTAAGAGACCTCATGAATACCGTGTCTAGCTTCTGACTAGCGAACCAAACCAAGCAAACACCTTCAAGACTTAGTGCAAAGCTTTATTGAGTACACCATATTGGCACATATGAAAATAAAACCGGATCTAGCACCCAATTCACTATAGTAAAAGCAGTGAATTCTTCCTCCTCCCTCTGGGTCAGGTCACTCTGCCCAATCTAGTTGAAAAAAATATAGTTATGAGAAAGCATATCCCGGCCCAGCCAGAGACATCTGTCATTTGTTCTCGGTTCCCACGGTCCGCTTTCTTAATCTTGGAAGTTTGAATTTCAAACCTCTCCCCTCCCCCCACCCTCATTGGCGAATTGAGAATCAATGTCTGTCGCACCAGCAAGAATGGGCTTTGAGACTTGACACGTAGGCATCCAACCCATTGTTTCCCTTACAGGCCATATCAAGAATGTATAAAATACTTTGTCCATGCAACCATTCACCACCCTTAGTATATGTGTGCTTCTTCCTTCACAGCATTGTTAATTTGGCATTGCTGGTTCCTGATCTGGATGGGATTTTCGACAAGGCATCTGCATAATGTTCCATCACTCAGAAATCTTGCTTTTCTTACTCTGCCCTCCTCTGTGACTAACATGTGCACAGAAGAGAAGCTAAGGTGCACAGAGACAGCTTCTACAGTGGAGGATTCTGTTGTCTTCCTTTTGTTGTGATGTGTGTGACGAAAGAGGTCAGATGAGGATTGAAGGACTGGAAGAGGGATTAGCATTAGGCCCTTTTGCTTAGCCCCTTATCTTTGGAAGTGCATTTTTGGATTTGAATTCTGAGGTCTCCAGTAGCAGAGAATAGATGAATTATGAGGCTTCCATTAGTAGAAAATGGATGTAGCTTAGAGTTGAACTGTTGGTTTTCTGGTGATCACCAGTTTCATTGCCTAACACAGTGGTTCTCAACCTTTTTAATGCCGTGACCCCCCAAACGGTCGTAAGTCGAGGACTACTCAACCGGTCGTAAGTCAAGGACTACTCAACTGGTGCAGCACCGTTTGCAGAATGGGACTTTTGGCGGGCTCAGCAGGGCAGAGACAGCC